TTCCCTAGAGAAGCAGAAGAACCTTTTTAAAAAATTTATTACAGAAATCTTAATGATTAAACTATGGTTCTATTAGTATTTACATGTATATGTGTGTGTGCAAGTACATGTGAGTGTGCACACACATGAATTCATGCCTTCCTAGGTATCTCAGAACTTACGATTTTTAAATTCTTTGATGTGATTAAGCTGCCCTTAGTCTTGTTTTTTTCTCTCCTTTGTTCCTAATACTCTTCCTACATTTTAGTACTCTCGTTTTTTTTTTCTTTTCTAGCCACCAGTTTGTTCATTCATTTTCAAGGTTCGGTAGTAACTGAATTCATGATCTTAGCCTGTATTTACTATATTCTTTCAGAGAAGATTTCTGTTTTTTGTTGAGGTCATGGGCTGAGGGTTCTCGACTGTAGTGTTTTGAGTAGTTTCTCCCCAGAGGAAATGTCTCTGTCCTAACCTCTTTGCTTGTGAATGCAACCTTATGTAGAAATAGTTTTTGCAGATGTAATAGTTAATCTAGAGATCTAAAGATGAGATCATCTGAGATTTAGCTTGGTCCCAAATCCAGTGACTAGTGACCTTATCAGAATAGGGGAGGGCCAGCCACTGGTATGGTGGCTAAGGTGACTGGATCCGATATGGCCAACTGCATGATTCAAGTCCCAGAACTGGACCCAGGGACTTAAAAAACATGCATGGGCATGCCCAAAATCCCCAAAGGAGAAATAGATGAAAAAGGATTGTGGCGTGACCATCTCTCATGTTTTTTTCTCTCATTTTTACTCTCTCTTGCTCTATATCTGTCTCTTTCCAATGAGTATATGTGCCCTTTAGCAAATTAAAAAGAAAAAAAAAAATGGAGACAGGAAATACAGGCAAAGATACACAAAGGAGAAGGTTTGTGAAGAAAGGAGCAGAGACTGGTGTGATGCCACAGCCAAGGAAAGCAGGAGCTCTTAGAAGCTGGAAGAGGCACGAAAGGATTCTCTCCTAATGCCTTCAGAGGAGCATGGTCCTGTCAATACCTTGATTTCAGATTTCTGGCCTGCATAACTATATACAAATACATCGCTCTTGTTTTAAGCTAACCAGTCTTGGTCATTTGTTATGGCAGCTCTAGGAGATTAATACATAAATTTTATAATTCTATTCCCAATAGTGTTTCAGTTACAGTTGCTTATTCACTACCCGGAAAACAGCATATTCAAAACAAATCTACTTTCTTCTCTCCCAAACTGAAAAGTTCGAGATTATCTTTGCTGCCTTTTTCTTTTTCTGTTTTCATTCAGGTAGAAACCAATCCTTCCTTAAAGCTCTCTGCTGATCAAGCTCTGCTAGTCATGCCTAGAGAAATCAGGGCAGAGAACAAGGAGAAAACAGTGCCTATCTTCAGAATACTTAGTGTGACAAAATGACGTGTTGATGTTTCTTAATGATCATTTCTCAGTTCAGAAGCATTGAATAGCTCGGCTGTGATTCGAAGGTCCTCTACTAACTGATCAGCGTTCTCTCTTTTACTTTCTGTCTCTCTCTTTAACGTAAGAGGTGTTTTGCCATAGGACTCATTTCCTTGCCAGAGAGAGAGACAGACAGACAGACAGAGACAGTGAGAGGAAACATGACAAATCACCTCCCAGGAGGATGGCCACATCACAATCCCTTATCCTTCATTTTCCTTCTGTGATCCTCGGCATGTATGCAAATGCACGTGGCATGAGTTTCTTTTCTTTTTTTTTCCTTTTTTTCCCCTAGAGGTTTTGGCCTTATGGTACATGCACTCACTGGGGAGAGAGACAGTGAGAGGGAAAGTGTGAAATTACCCCAAAAAAGCTATGGCCACTCCACAATCCCATCTCCTCTTTTCTCCTCCTGGTATCTTGGACATGCACGCACATATGCCCTTGGCGTGAGTTTTAAGCTGCTGGGTCCCAGACTTGGACTGTGGTTGACTACATGACAGTCCAGCAATGTAACCATTATGCCATCTGCTAGTTCCAGGGTTTCTCTTTTTAGACTGCAGAGTATATATATATATATAATTTGATATCCTCCATCATCTAAAGATAATTGTTCAAGTTATATAATATTGTTACAGCTTATAGTATTTTTAAAAATTTTCCTCTTCTCTCTAGCCAGAGAACAGGAATTGTGTTTTCTAGGACAATTTTGCAACACGGTAGATATTCAAAAGAATTGAAA